AATCCAGAAATAGTCCTAATTTTATGATGGTTCCTTAATATATTTTAACTACATTGCATTTGAGTATGGAGAGGCAACTATCTGGAAGTATTTTACATAAAAAATTTACTAAGTATTGCCCGGTTTGTAGTTGCAGTTAAAGAAAACACATGAAAAGGCACGATTTTTTTTAAATTCGAAAAAATGTAAATATTTCAAAAACGGTGACACTTTTACCTGAAAATTTTTTGTTTATCAGTGAGCTCACCCCCCCACCTACCTTCCCCTAAAGTTTGGCACGTTTCTTCTGGGACACCCTGTATACACATGTAGCTAAAATCATATAAATGAAATTAATTAATCAATTGTCATGGTTGAACTGAAACCGTAATTGATTTTTGTTCCTAAATAGTAATAATTAGATTTATATCCAGTGAACGATCTTAGCACTCCGATCTAATTATTGTGGAAGTTATGTCATGACTTCCATGGAAGTTAAGTCTGATCTTCGTGGAAATCAAGTCTGAATAACTTCCACGGGCTCATGGAGGTTATGTCCGTGTAAGTTATGTCAGTTACCCAAATATATAAAACCGAGCCAGCAAAATATCCAGAAACGTATCCAAAAATGGAAACAACATCCTATAAAAACCTGATATTTGATTAGTTTTTCGATACCATTTTCTGGAAACCCAGCCAGCAGTCTTTGGCGGCAGTTCGGTTTTCGTGCAGTTGTCGCATCCGTAAACGTTCAGAAAATGATTAAAATTTTCGTTCATTTTTCGGAAACCATAATTTTAAACTCCCCAGCCAGCAAAATATCCGAAAACGTATCCGAAAATGGAAACAATTTCGTATAAAAACCTGATGTTTCATCCGTTTTCCGATTCCGTTTTCGGACGTTTTTCAGATCAGTTCTCCCACTTAAGTGTTCATCCGAAACGTATGTGCAGAAAACTATCGAAAATGGTTGTAAAACGGATGCGCTTTTGGCTGTTTTCCTAAAATTTGTCTGATCCAATTTTTCGTTGAAAACGATTTCATTATGAACTTCACAGAAACTTTTTCATGGTAACAGGAAACCAAACCAAAAACAAATTTAAGATTCAGCAATTATTTCAAATTTGAATAACTAATTTGAATGTGTTGCTTCTGACGGAATTCGAACTTGGGACCTCCTGAAAGCTAACAAATAGTAGCATACTTCTCTGCACACTCAGCTACTGGCGAATATTTTAAAATTATTGTTTTGAAATAAGATGATGACATTTTCGGATACGAAAAATGAACAAATATGAAAATCGTTTTCTGAACATTTCCGGAAACGAAAAATGTACGAAAACTGCACTTTCGGCAAAAAGTACGTTTCTCTGCTGGCTGGGTCTTTATTCAAACTGAATATTTGAAAACTTGTACATACATACATAGATATACGTAAATAGTCTGCTGAGGTCCCAGGTTCGAATAGCGTCAGAAGCAACAGATTAAAATAGCAGGAAAAGTATTTTTTTTTTTATTAAATAATCGCTGATTCTAAAATTTTGTATGATTGGTTTTCTGCAACTATAAAAAAACATCTATGGAGTTTAGAATGAAAGCGTTGTCAACGTAAAATTGAATAAGAAAAATTTTAGAAAAACAGCCGAAAACGTATCCATGTCACAACCATTTTGGGTATTTTTGTACTTAGACATACGCTTGGCACACACTTTGTTTGGATAACGTAACCGAAAAACGACCGAAACTGAAATTGGAAAACGAATGAAATATCGGGTTTTAATACGAAATTATTTCCATTTTCGGATTCGTTTCCTGATATTTTGCTGCCTGGGAACTGTGAAAAATTGGAATGCTTGATTGTAATTGTAATTTACGAAGGAGCAAAGTGTATTTTTTTTAATTTTTAAAAATGTATTTTTTATATACATATGTACATTAGGGTGGCCCCTACTTTGAAAAGAGCTCGGATTCTCGTCCCACCCCCTAGAAATGTGTTAATAGCCTAAAGACTAAACTATACAAGTTTTAGTGGTTAAAAGTCTCCTAAGAGAACCAGGGTTTTCCGATGGAAAAATATTGATTTTCAAGAATTATATACCATTTCTACCAAAAGTTCTTTTTTCACCGTATAAAATACATGGGAAACTTTGAGTGCTTTGACAACCCTCTAAATCTTTTTTGATTGACCTAAAACTTTGTATAGTTTAGTCTTTAAGCTATTCACACATTTCTAGACCGAGAATCCAAACACTTTTATTTTTCTTCATATAACCAAGGGCCATCTTTATGTACATATGTCCTACATATAACCATATGTTCTTTATAGAACGATCTATCGGTCCATAGAATTTTCATCGACCTTCTTTACAGCCAAACTACTTCGTATTTATTTATAGGCCCGACAAATATTTGAAAAGGAAGCCGAATCTCGCACCTGTGTCATTAGCAATGGATTCCTAATTCTATTCCAGGCGTCTAGTAATGCCGGTGGGGATGCTCCATCTACATCTGGCGCAAGCAATAACCTCACATTGAATTTAAACGGTGGAAATATGATTTCTCCTGCGCGCTCTAGTAACAGTCTCACGAGTAGCATTGGTGGTAAGAATAAAGATGTTTTGGATAGCGGTAGCGATGAAACTGGTTCCAACGCCTGTGCTGACTCTGCGGCCGGTGTTTAAACACCCTCTGATATAACAATAATACAGTATTTAGTCTTGCAAATTTAAAGCAAGGCGGAAGGAATATATTTTTGCGTATAAGTATAGTGTAATGGAGGAGTAATAACAATCAGTTACTAACTATACACGTACGTATATGTAAATGGAACTATGAGAAGCATTGAGATGAAATTACTAATGTTAAAAATATCTAAATTTTGTTTGTGCATTAAATATGTAGAAATAAAATTCTACTTAATATGTGTTTGTAGACTAAGATTAAAATTACCTTCGTTAGACTTGAAGTACATATACACATACATACAGCGTTTGCCAAATGAGACCTACCGCAGCAGGTACATGGTTTGCCTAGCCATGTGCGCACTCGCTCCATCTTGTGGGAACCACAAATTAGGACGTGCGCTGCCGTTGGCCGCAACAAGTTGTCAGTAATTGTTCTATAAGAAGCCCCCAGAAATCGTTCTGGCGTTTCATCCTCAATCTCGAAGAAATATAGGCCGATAACTCTTTCGGCCATAACACCGCACCAAACAGTGCATCCGGATTGGGGTACCTGATGCTGGTGTGTTGCCCTTTGATTTACAGAGCTCCAAAATCTACAGTTTTGCTTAGAAATGTGATTCATCCGACATCAAAACATTACCTAAAATATCAATTTATGCGGCAAATTGTGTAAAACGCATAGCGTATTGTAGTCGTTGTTGGTGGACTGTAAGTATCCATTATGATTTTCCTAGAGATTAATTATGACACAAAGAAAATAACAATGATTCTAAAAATAAAGAAGTTATACGTGTTAAACATTGGTAGGTCTTATTTAGCCCACCCTGTACATGCACTTGTGGTCAGCTGATTAAGTCAAGTGACATTTTGACTATTATTATGGTGTCCAGAATTTCAAAGAACAATAGAATAACATTCGACAGTATCAAAAACAGACAGTATCAGGGAGGCTCATAAATTTCAACTCCAAACATGAGATGAAAACAATTCTAAATACGGCTAGCAATTTTAAAAGAAGAGTTCTCTCTCTTCTCTTGCTAGAAAAAGGTAATGCATCCCCGTTTTCCCAATGGGAAGCTAAGATATTAAGTTGTGTTTTGTTGTACGTTTTGTAAATAATTATTTGTATATGTAACCATATTGTGTTCTTTGCAGTCCTGAAGATGCCTTTAGATTACAGGCGAAATATCGATAGTAATAAACAAAAAGGAATATAAGACATCCAATTGCTTTATTTACCATCGGCCTAAAGCAATCAAAAGATTACAATAAACGGCCAGAAAACAAACCTAACCGAATTCAACAAACTTTAACATTTACACCCAAAAAATTTAAAATTTTTATAAAAAAATTTTAGTAAAATTTGAGGTAGGGAATTTTACAGCCCATTAAATTTTAGTTGGTAAAAGTGCAAATTTTAAATCGCTAGAAAATCTCGTTTACTTTTAATCATTTTTTTTTGTTGACGATGTTAGGCATTTTCCTCCATATAAAAGTAATCGTCGACCATACTTTATATCACAGCTGGGCAGCATCTGCGCCCATACATATACACGCTCTGCTTGGGAAGGCTGCGAAAACTTCATTCAACCGCACGACTTGTTCGCACGCACACAACAAAAAATACTCTGCCGAAACTGCCCACCTCTGTTTTATATGGAAAAAATGCTTAACCCCGTCAGCCAAAAAAAAATATTAAAAGTCAAGCGACTTTCTATCGTCTTCAAACTTGCACTTTTACCCACTAAAATTTAATGGGCTATGAAACTCCCCACCTAAAATTTTTCTAAAAATGTTTAAAATTTTTGGGTGTAAATGTTAAAATTGGTTGAAATTGGTTAGGTTTGTTTTCTCAACAGCGGCAGCCAAAAATTTATTAAAAATCAACGCATACTGCATACCTTAAATTTTTCTAAAAAATTTTAATAAAAAATTTAAAATTTTTGGGTGTAATTGGTAAAGTTTGTTTAATTTTTATAAATTTTGTACGAAGTTTTAAAAGTGGATTTATGTGTCGCTGGTTATATGTATAATGTGCTAAAATTTTATAAAAAATATAAATAGGCAAAAGAAAGATAGCTAAACCTGGGCAAAATGTCACATAACTTAATCAGCTGACCACAAGGGTATGTACAGACATACATACATTCATCTATTACCTGGAGTAATTTTGTACTAGTTATTATTAACTGTTATACAAAATACGTATGTGTGTTTGTGCAGTGTACAATGTACATCATCAATACCAAGGCCCTATTTCGAATTTTTGTAGAAATTCGGTTTTTAAATAGTCCATTAGTTGGCTCTCGAAAACAATCGTATACTAAAATTCAAAGGCATATCTTCAAAAATACGAGCTAGATCTGTATGCATTTCCATGTAAAATTCCAAATTTGTCAAATAGGGACATTTGCATTGGTCGTGACAATATGTTAAGGGCCGGTTGCTCACTAATCCCCGGTTAAACATCGTTATCGACGTTACCGACACCGTGCTATATTCGTGTCAACCAGGCTTAGAGCAACCGGCCCTAAAACTTTCTTTATCCTTTTTTAAACTCATCAACTTCACGGCAATAATTCAATGTGATGTCTATTCTTTAGTAATCTAACTTATTTATCTCCACGAAATATACTTTTTATGTATCTGTTGTCACGGTTGTAATTTTATTTTAGCTTTAACAGTTATGTATACGGCTTTTCCTAACCCAGAAACAGGAAATAATAAATCTCTTCGCGTTTGCGCACAAAAACGAATGAGCTCAACGTTTATTTATTAAATTATGTACATACTAGGGATGCCAATCCCTAATCCCGATCCCGGGATCCCGATGTTTTTGATATTTGATAGTAAGAACTTGTTTATGAATTTTGAAGTATGATTTTTGTAAAACGTTTGAAACTGTACTTTTAAATTGCAGACTTAGCCTTTTTGAAGAATATTTAAATGAATGTACTCATAGCGTTGCTAATGTCAATGAAACAGAGAGTTTCAAGAAAAAGTTACATAATTTCTTAAATCAATATACTCAAATCTAAAAAGTTATAGTTTATCCGACGTGCTGGTAAAAGAAGTTCAAATATTTTGTAGTGTAGGAGATAGAGGTCATTATCTTCAAATCGCTTATAACTACCTTTCGACAGTTGAGCCTAAAATTGTTGAGGCCGAAAGATGTTGTTCATCAGCAGGTTTTGTATGTAACAAGTTCAGGTCAAGATTAGAAGACTCCGCTTTAAATAGTTTGCTGCTCTTATGTACACATTGTGCAAGTACCATGTTGACCGAGCTTTGAACGGAGTGCATACAATTTTTACAATTTTCAAGGTTTGGATAACAGATACTGGTAATTTGGACGGCTCTAAAAAAATATTTTGGAAAAAAAATGGATTTCGATATCTAGTTAGTAAATTTCTTACTCTAAAATTTAGGTGGCAACCCCATTCTGAAATACGCTGGAATTGAGCGTATATGTACTGTGTATACTAACAAAAAAATGCTAATTAAAATTAACAAAATATAAAATTATTTTACATAGAAGCGTGGCAACCCTGATCAAAAATATTTTCTGTCCAAGGTTCTCAACAATACCATTCATTTGATGACCATATTGCGATGTTTTAGATAAATTGTGAAGAATCGATAATAAGTGGCAACCTTACTTCCTAAGGGATAACATTTTGTATTTAGGGAAAGCATTGTTTAAGAACCTTCTCTGGGTACCCATGAATAGTAACATTTTACCTTTTTTTTCTAAACAAAAAATTAAATAAATATGCGATTCAAAATATATATATATATGTATATATATCCATATGGTTCTCGGAAACGGCTCTAACGATTTTGATGAAATTTTGTACACAGATAATGTTTTGGATCTTAAGGTTATCTGAATAGCCACTATCTCCGAGAAGACTCGTAAGTATAAGGTTGCTACCCATTCGAATTTAGTTACAAATTAATTAAGACGTCATAATATTATAATATTGGTATCAAATCGAAGGTACTTTAAAGATCCCGAATTAAAAATATATTTTGAATAGGGTTACAAGAATTGCTTGTTAATAATTAGATAATAACAACACCGGCCCAAAAAAAGGGGTGTGCTTCTAACCAGACCCACCTACCGACATGTATTTCGACCCGGTGAATCCGAATCTGAGGTCCGGTTGACTCGTTCACCCTCAAAATTTCGAGTTAATTGCGAAAAAATGGCAAAAAATCGCCATTTCTGTATGAAGTAGAATAAACATGTTTAGAGAATTTATGTTTGTATATTTTTTTTTATTAATTATTACTTTCAAAAGTACATTGTTATTTGTGATGTATGCGTTCCTGGACCACATGGTTTTTTAAAAACAATTTAAAAAATGTATTAGGTACTTTTAGGTTTGTCTGAATTAATAAATATGGGAGTTTTACAATAGTTTATCGTAAATGTTAAATAGTTTTATTTCATGGTATCTTTAAATGCTTTCAGATATTGAATTTTTACTCATATTAATAAAAGTTATGACTCAATGTGAATTTCGGGATAAATATCGGGATCCCAGGATTACTGAAAAAATATCCCGAAATCCCGGGATCACAATTTTCCTCATATTTTGGCATCTCTAGTACATACGTATACATATGTATGCATGAATTAATATATTTAATATGGTGTTTTTGTAAGTTTGTTTGTCATCTCTGGGACGCGGTTTTTTATTTCCAATACTGGTATTTAATTAATTTGATAATACAGTATGATAGCATTTATAAAAATATGAGTAGCAATATTATTCCTTTTACGACTTGTACTTTTATTCTTTCTTAAAAAGAGTTATGTATGTACATATTTTATATGTATAAATCTCAATTCATCTGCATGTATTTGAATCGGCTTCACAACTGATATGGTTTAGTTAGTTTAATACTACTATTTATTTTTTAATTTATTTATTATCTTGTGTTGTACATTTTTGCGAAAATAAAATTTTAATGTTTAAACAAAACAATAATTTATTCTATTCATATTATTATTTCGCGTATTGTTTAACTATTTCGAATTTCATTCGAATCGGTTTCGAAACAGCTTACACTTTTACAATACCATTAGAGCAGAGACTGGTTTCCCCAATTTTTTCAATTTGTTTCGATAGAGGTCAAGCCAAAAAACATCGTATAACCAAAAATATGTACATACATAGAGCGAAACCATCTAAAATTAAATTAAATCGACAAAGCAAATTTTATAGCGCAGGACTGCTCAAAGTGAAATCACAATACATCTACAAAATTTATGTGTACACTGAGATTTGTTGTGTAATTTAAATGAAGCTAAAAAGTACATACAACCCTGCAAACCAAAGTTCCCGAAATTTTAAAGAAACTCGGAAATGTGTTTCGAATTCTGTAACGATTTCTATACGTATTTTCATAGAAAATCGTTTGAAGGGGTTAACACGAACTCGTAAAGAAATATGTGTAGGATTTTGTAACTGGAAATCTAAAAGATTTCTTTAGGAATATTTTGTATTTTGTATTTTTTCAGCATTCTGAAGAAATGTTCGAATGTATTTCTTAAAGAATATTTTCCCAACCTTCTGAAAGAAATTAAACACGGAAATTTTCGGAAATCAATTGCTTAAGTTTATTCGGTTTATATACTGTATCAAATGTATAAGATTCGAGTTTATGTAGATAGAGGGATTTCAATAACTATCCGGCTGTTTGCGCGGGTAGCGAACGAAAAATTACAAAATCCTCGTTTGCCTATGTGGCAGCTGAATGTTAGCTACAAAAGAATTCACAATAGTTTGCAAGGTTTAAGGTAAGTAAATGTGCAATAAGGTGAAAGATATAGATTTGAAGCGTTGATAAGGAAAACATTCAAAATTTTAGTAAAAGCTAAGTATTTCATGCTATAAAGAAGGTAAATGCAACATGTTTAAGTTATATATTTACTTTGAATGTAAAAAGTTGAAAAAAGTTAAATGTAATAAATTTAGAATTCTATTAATTTTGGACTCATGTCCTCGACAATTGCGTAAAACATTTAGGTCAGCGGGTTAACTGCTTCGCTTCTTAACGCGGTCCTTTGCAGAGTTGAAAAATCTTTTAATACTAGCTTCAGTGTTGTCCAGCTCAGCTTAGTATTTCCAACTGCAGACATACAAGAACCTGTGAACAAAGTGTGTAATCTTATTTAGCTACATGCATACATATTATGCTGTAGGGACGCTAAAATGACGCAAAAACAGGCCGAGACACGTAAACTTAATTTGGGTTTGTATCCCTAGATATTTTCATTTTAAGTTTTAATTTAGATGAAAAAATTCAAATTTAACAGGAAAAAAATTAAAAAATAACAGTTTTTATAAATTCTTTCATTTGTATTAAAGCCTGTTCTTTTACAAAAAAACACAAGCTTCTAAAGAAGTAAATTTATCGATGAATAAAAAGTTGTGAATGATCGAATGAAATTACGCAAAATCATTGCGCGTTACCATTTTACCATTCACAACTTTTTATATGTCCACCGATTTTCTTTGTTAGTAGCTTGATTTTTTCGTAAAAGGGGAAAAAATGGCAAAAAAACGTTATATTTTAAAAATTTTTCCAATTGTAAAGTCCTTAACGGACGTGTTGCCCTTCAAGTTTGTCCATGAGAACTGCGTAACTAGGCTGTCGTCTCCAAAGACAGCTTTTAAATTTCCGGATATGAATATCTGTA